CAGAGATGGGCATCTACGCGTAAACAAAGATTGTTTACGTCTGGTGTAAACAACGCGTAGACAATGTAAACTATGTAATCTATGTAGACAACGTGTAAAATATGTAGACAACGAGTAAAGTAATACAATTTTTGACAGTTGGCAGGCCTTTAAGGTTATGTTTCTGTTTTTGCTTTGTTTTTTTTTTTGCTTTGTAATGTTAATTAAACTGCAGATAATGTCTAATTTGATGCAATATAAATTTAATGCAATGCAAACTTTCAAAAAAATTACTCAAATTTCAAATTTTCTGTTGTCTACATTGTCTACATACTTTACATAGTCTACATGTAAAAAAGTGGATGTAAACAATACGTAGACAACGAGTAGACAAACCGCGTAAAGTAGATTTCATATAGTCTACGGCACATCCCTGGCTATAAAGGATATCTTTGTTGTTACAATAAAGTAACTTCGTTGTGACTATAAAGTGACTTTGCTACGACTATACAGTTTTTTTTATGACAATAAAGTAACTTTATTGTGGCTACAAAGTAAATTTGGTGCTACTATAAAGTATTTTTGTGTGACCATAAAATTACTTTGCAGTGACAATAAAGTCAGTTGCGGATAGTACGCGACGCACAACTGACAGCCCCCGTTTTCTGACGTCAGCGTCAGCGTTACAAAACGGGTGTACGTCATACCTGAACCAATGACAACGTTTACGTTGTCAGATGTGCATCGCGTACTATCCTAACAAACCGTACCTTAAGGACGCCTTAGCGATAAGTATGCAATGACATTTTAACGTGGAGAAATGTCACTTTAAGGAAAACTTATCGCTAAGGCTTCCTCAAAATGGTCGGTGCAAACGGCCATTAGTGGGGTAAATATGTTCATGGGGTAAAAATAAAACACAAATACCTACAATTAAACAATACATATATTTTATTAAAAAATAATATTTTTTTATAGAAATAAAATATGGACAGAAAAATGGAAAATTGTTATTCGCATTATAAGAAAAAAATACTCTTATAATGAAAAATCAAAAAACTTAAATCTATAAAGGAGCATAAACAATAAATACAATAATACAAGAGCCTTTATATAGGGAGATCAGTAATGAGATAGGAGGTTGGTTGAATCAAAACAAACTTGGAGAAGTCCTGTGATGAATGCACTGCCTCCTCGATCAATTAAAAATACCTAAAATAATATTCGAAAAAAGGATTAGGCTACGCCATCTTGTTTAAGACAAAAACAGAAAACCAACATTTTTGATTTTAGAATATCTTGAAGAGAATAAGAATAAGCTCATAAAAAATATTAAATAGATACATCATTACATACCGTTGCATACCTACCCTACCACATTCACCCACTAACTAAAAAAAAACAAACAATTCAATATTTTGATCGACTTCACTTTATTGACTTGATTACAAAATTGCACGAGCCGACAACAGCAGCTTCCTTCTACGTTTAGGCGGTTACACACGGATGTGGATGTCTGAAAACATGTACGCACATACATGAACGCTCAAACAAAAACATCAATGTGTATGCAAAATAACGTCGCGCTTTTGAATGTGCAATTTTGTATGCACACTCGGAATACTGTGGCAAGAATAGCAAGACTGCAGTTTTGTGCGAGCGTCTGTACAAACGCGACATGCACGTTGTTGTTTGCACGTTGATGTATGCACGTATATGTATCAAGACATCCACGTCCGTGTGTAACCGCCTTTCGACGTTTACCACGGACTACCGAGCGATGCTAGCGTCGGGAAACCTCGTGGATCGCAAATCACCCCCCACCTCACCACCCGATGGATTTTGTTGAAAATATTTTGGTGAAGAAACCAAAATCTTTCCAGCAATAATTAAAAAAACTTATAAAAAACTTTTTCATAGTTGCAGGCATGCACTTTTCCGCGGTAGAAAACATCTTTATTAATAATAAGTGTTTCTACTGTATCAGGAAAAAACTATTAGTGGCAGAAAAAATTTTTACTGTTACAGCAAAGTGACATATTATGTTAACATAGTAAAGTGCATCCTACAACTAGAATAGGATCGTTTTGCAATTTCAGCTAAAATTTCTGCTATGATAGCTGAAAATACACTAGTAAAGAATTTTTGGCTGTAAGTTTTGTCAGTGTTGTAACTAAAAACGTAACTGCCAAAGAACATCACATATCTTTCATTTCGGAGGACAAAAATCTGTAATGACGGTATTTGAAACAGAGCAATATTTTCTAGCTCCTGTTAAAATTGAATTTCCGTAATTATTCGGTAGGTTATCTATCATCGCAATGTAATCGAGAAAATGTTCACATAATGCAAAATTTATTTCTATTTCAAGAAAAGTACAAAAGCTTCTTCCAGAAGGTATCATTGAAGAAAGTAGGTACGTCTTTATGGCGAGCACAGGTTCTTGGTTCTTGTGACAAAGAACGAAAATCATATATCATATACCACGTATAATGGTTGTTAACTATTCTCAAACAATCAACAACTTCATGTTTCTCGACACTTATCCTTGTCCTAATATAGAAGGGTTGGTAAGAGCAGTCTCAAAGTTTGACGTTTCTGCATATTATCAAGAGATAATAAAAAATAATTCATTGCTTTTGAAGCTGTATATCAGTTTAATCGTATACCTTTGGGTGTGACTAACGGTGTAGCTTGATTTCAAAGAGTCTTAGATATAATAATCAGGCAAGAGAATCTAGAAGGCGTCTATGCATATAGCCATGACATAACAATTTGTGGGAAAAATCAAGAAGAACACGATAAGAATCCATCAGCTTTTTTGGTAGCAGTCAAAAAGTACCACCTAACTATAAACGAGAGTAAAAGTTAATTGAATAGAAAGTCAATTAAACTACTGGGATATCTTATCTTAAGGTTTATCACACCAACTTCGACAATGAGCGGGCAGAACAGGGTCAGGATCTAGAGTTGATGGGTGCTGATTCTGATGGAACAGTTTCTCCCGAACGCTTTATGCCTGACCTTGGTCTAGCGCATCAGTAACAGGAGCAGCAGACCCGGCGAAGAAGAAAAAGATAATGTCGTAGAGGTGGACGAAGAGGAGGAAGAGCCGAACTTGGACACTTAAGCCTGATCTTGCAAAATTAAAACCTCTACAGAATTTGCCAGTTCCTACTGATAAGCTTCACTTCAAAGAGCTGTGGGTATGCTCGCTCATTACTCTAGATCGATACTGAGATTCTTTGAGAAAATTCATAGAATTGTTAGTACCTTCAAGAAACTTTCCTATACAATATCACCGATTTCCACAACTTGAAAACTGTAGTAGGAAAGTCAGCTGTCACTGCCATTGAAAAAACCACAGATTAACTCGTCCTCGTACGGGTTAATCTGTGGAAAAAACCATTCCATTTGTGGTGGAAACAGACGTAAAATAAAAAATGAAAAGGGCTTTCATTTCAAGCGCTAAGAGGCATGTTTGTGGAAATCGCGGAAACGCGTCAACAAATTTATTGGGAGGGAAGGTTTTTTACGTAAAACTGGACTTCCTTCCTTCAACCCCCTAACCCCCAAGGCTACCACCCCAAAATTTTCAAAGGAGACAGTGGGTCGAGTGATAGATCATTTTAAAGAGCTGTTTAATCTGTACATTTTGCCGTCCTATTTTCTGAATTTAAGCTCAGTGTTGTAGAATAACACCCATTTCAATGTTCAGAAATGCCCATTTATCTTTAGACACACCTGCTTTTTACCTACCGTTTCATTACAGCAACAGGTAAACAAGGAGGTGTGTTTAGGGATAAATAGGCAGTTTCAAACATTGAAATGGGTGTTATTCTGCAACAGTGAGTTCAAATTTAAAAAATAGGACGGCAAAATGTACAGATTAAGCAGCCCTTTGAAATGATCTATCACTCGATTCGCTGACTCATTTGAAAATTTTGGGGTGGTAGCCCTAGAGTTTAGGGGGTTGAAGGGGCGAAGTCCAGTTTTACGTAAAAAACTTTCCCCCTCAATAAATTTCTTGACGTGTTTCGGCGACTTCCAGAAATCTGTCTGTTTACGCTGATAACGTAGGTGGCAAGTTTTGAAATGAAAGCCCTGTATAATCCGGAAGGCAATGGTCAAGTAGAGAGATTTGATGGTTCAATATGGACAACAATTTCGCTCGCACTGAGGTCTCGTGGCCTGAAAACAGAACAATGGAAGAGTGTACTCGAAGATGCATTGCATTCTATCCAATCTCTCATGTGTATTGCAACAAATCAAACACCTCATGAACGCATATCTAAACATTCTCGTAAATCTAGCAACAGACAAGCTAATCCTTCCTGGCTTTCCAGTCCTGGCCCTATTTGGATGGAAAAGAATGTTGGGAAAAGTAAATATACGACCTGTTTATGGAGGTGGTGTACTTGCTTATGTGTTAGTTCGTCTTCCCGATGGCAGAGAAGATACTGTCAATCTAAGGCATCTAGCATCATGTGGAAGTATACCTGAATTTAATGATGATAGTAAAAATACCTTTCAATCCCGTAACGAACCCTAATAAAAAAGTAACTCTGATAAAAAAGATGCACAAACACCTGATATTCAGAATGGTGACCCGCGGAAGAAAATTCACATTTGGACACATCGGAAAATGAATTCATATTAGTCCCTCAGAAGAAACAGTCAGACTCCAAACTACTCAACAGATTATGTTTCAAAATGAACCTGGGAAGAATGAGACAGATAGACACCGCATCTCATTCATAAACTTATATTTGTTTTGGTGGTGAGGACAAGACCCACCATGGGCCAGGAGGGGTGAGTTTTTCGAGGGAGCTAATGATGGGAATGCATCAGAGGTTATAAACAAGACCCGCCTTCCCCTCTGAACCCGTCATTCACTTGATGAAAATAATGACGAAATTCGCACGGGTGCAATTCGTTTATCTGTCTATCTGCCTCTAACTCATATGATATACCTACGTCTAATGGGCGCATTGACATTCCAATCGATTGCAGCGCGCAGCGCGTGTTCCGCCTGTTTCACAAAACCGGCTTCGCCAATAGTCGTTTTTACTCTTGAAACTCTAATTTTTCAAAGCAAAATCATAACAGGATAAAATATCAATCCGTAACAATTTGGCCATCTAATTGGAGGGGATACACCGGAGGTATTTTCATTAGTACAATGGCCCTTGTCATTATCAAAACAATTAGCGGCAAATAAATGCAACAATCTTGGAACGAATATTACAATATATTTTACTATTCAGCTGAAATTATTTTAACAAAAAATGTCAACTCTAAATGATAATAAAACATAACAAATCAACAATATCACATAGAACTTATTTCAACTACTAAAAATATAATCAAATCATTATTATTAAAAAGATATGACAGAGAGGTGACTTAAAAATAATGTCGATACAGAAGGATGTGATGTTATATAAAATTGTTGAACAAAGGGTTAAAACCTTAGTGTAATAAGCATTATATTCTCAGTAACTTGATATTTCTATTTATACGAATAATAAAATCTATGTAGAAATAAACGAAAGATATTCTGGACTTAGAGGTATGAATCTATCAGCTGGAACTGATGGGTGACAATACAAAAAACCGCAATTATATACTTTCTATATAGTGGGATTATATGTATACTTTATAATATAATGGGATATAGAAACATTGTCGTTCACTAATCTGTAACAAATTCAATTTGAGATATACTGTGAATTTTTCAAGTCAACATGCTGAAGCCGTAGTTAGATGGCCAGCCCATATCTTCAGCTTTCATAGAATCATCCCAGTTACTGTTAACATTATACTATACTATAGTGTGTGTGTCCCATTTTCAATATCTACTTGTTGAATAATATAAAAATAAATGTAAATCTAGCTTATGTATGCTTGGAAGATGAGACAAATATGCAAGCAATAAATAATACAAAATATTATAGTTTCTTGTTACATTTGGACGTTACACGTAAAGCTATTAGGACTTTATTAGAAGGGGCAACAATGGAAGAATTTATTAATTTTTTTGAAAATATTACATCAAACTTATTGAGTGCAGTATCTATACTTATTTATTATCAAAGGTGTTTACTGTACGTTGAATTAAAGGCAACAAATAATAAATATTACAAAAAAGACCAGTCGGTCTATACAAGTTTCATCTTTCGAAATTTTGTATTGGTTTTCTCAGAAACCATTGATGTGAGCTAATGGCCCAGTTGAAGAAAAAATTTGGGGCACCAACCTGAACAAATCAGAAGTTTCCATTTAGTTTTGAAGGGAATGTGAGTGAATTCTGGTGTAGAAGATTTGCATGATGGGCTCATACTAATATTGACTGTTTCCATTCACCATCACGAAATCTGGTCACTTAACTGGTTATAGTGAGGAAATAAAAGGAAAACAAATTGTAAATATTTTGATAAAAATTGGACTTAAAACCTCTGCAAATCCTCTACTTTTTCACAAATTTCAAACACAAGCTTTTATATTGATTCCTCCTAAGGGTTCCTCTGTTAGCTAACAGCTTCTCTTCCAAAAACATTTTCGATATGCTAATTTCTATATTATTTAGGAAGACATCGAATCTTTGTATATAAAATTCTGCCATCGTTGCCCACTTGACGGATATATACAAGGCGCGGACAAATAATGTCATTTCTAAAACTTACTTTTATACGATATACAGTGGGGGTTTGTTTTATCTTACAGTTAAAGCTTCAACAGCAATAGATTTCTCCACCTTTTTTTTTTGATTATAGATGGCAGTTCTAAAATTGATATAAAAACGTAGATATAATTTTATAATAATAATATTTGTTTAACATAGATTGTGTTAAAAGATTATTCGTAATCTTTTGACACAATTAAAACATTTAAATTTATATCTAGACAGAAACAACCAACATTTCCAATCACTAAATTCGAATATATCAGGCAGCAGTCACTGCATTAATAATTTAGAATATTTTTAATAGTTTTTATAACACACTCAAGAATTTGAACACATATTACAGATTAACAACAAACATATAGATTACATCATTTGTTAACGATAACCATACATTTAGAGTAGTACAATATAAACTAAAGTAAGCGTTTTAATTCATTTAATTTCGATCAATTTAGGCGCAGTCTAGATTATTTTTTTTTTTAAATTGATTACCGCTAATAAATAACATCTATTATAGAAGGAACAATTTGCCTATACCTAAGTTATATCCAGGTAGTTATACAAGTAGGTGGGAAATTGGAAGATAACATGATGGGAGAATAAAGAAAAGATAAAGAAAAATACGAAAGAGTTTCAGCAATTCAACAAATCTGTAAATGGAGAAATTATAAAAAAAATTACAACCTACAGTACGAAATTGATTAGCAATAAAATCATACTCTAAAAAGGACATACACAAAACTATAACAATAATACAAAACAGGAGACAAGAGAGGAATGAAAATTGCTTACAAAGATGAAATAACAAAATAAAAACAAAAAGGTTATAAGTATACTCAACTATAACAAAAATACAAAACCGGAGACAAGAAATAAGAATGGCATAGGCAAATTGATCGCCACTGAGAATATCAATAAACATAGTTTATACAAAAACAAATTAACGCTTTCAGCGAAATACCATAGTAAAGATAAGAATTCTTTCAACAATGCCTAAACTCTAATTAAATTAAAAAATATAAAAACTAACATTTTCATTATTTTCGTGGAATAGGTGCTCCCATTCCACTTACTACTGATGTGTATAATTTATTTTCTTTTAGTAAAATTTATAGGTACTTACAAGGCGATATTTGGTTAAGCTATTTTACAGGTTTCATAAAGCACTATATATAAATAGTTGGAAAAATTGTTCTCAAAATTTGGCAAATTTCGTGAGAATAAAGTGAGAGCTAGTAAAATTAGGTGAGCTACCTCCGAGTGCGCCCAAAGTACATGATGCAGCAAATAATGGACCTCCTGTTTTGGGAATAGGAATAATTCTTTTTGGATGCTTTATTTCAAAATTTTGAATTATTCAATGAGGAATCCTTTGCAGCACTTTGTAAGTCTTTATAGGTACTTGTTTCCAACTAATTTCTCGTACTGCTGATGAAAATGTTGGATTATCATATGTATAAGTATAAAAGGCTTGAATTGGTCAGTAAAAAAGAAGTAATTCTTACCTACGCCAAGTACTAGAAGTAAAAAGTCGCTTAAAGTGAAGACACAAAAGTAAGTATTCTCTGGAAGTATTTCCGAATCATTCAAAGTAAATAATATGCAGGCAGTATGAGAGTATATAGAAAAAATCTGAGAACAATATTACCTGTAAGAACTTTTCAGCCAATCTATATATGAATAAGGAAGAACTTTGGAAAAACCAAAACATTGTAGACTTTGAAAAGATAATTCAAAGTGAACAAAATCTAGACTCTTTTTTTTTGTAGTTGACGATTAGTTTTGAAATATACCTTTCAATATTACTATTGTAATGATCCAGAAATTAGACCCATAAATCACAATGTCTTTACTGTAAAAAATTAAATAATATCAAATAATCAAAAACTAAATTTCCGGTATTTCCAAATCAGTAACGATAAATTAGGAATGGAACAAATTAATGTTACCCCAAATACATTCGAAATTATATTATTTCCCCAGCGTGATGTCATCCTAACATCCGATCAATGAACTTTTTAAGCGAGGCCAAATAATTGAATCGAATGATTTATGGCATTCTTGAACCAATGTATTTAACCCCGATAAATCGGGATATTGCGACATAATTATTCGATTTTAAACTAAAAATGATAAAAATTTCAAGGAAATTGCATCATCTTAATAGAGAACTTGCACATTTTTTTTTTATTTCAAAAATGTGTTGTACTACACTAAAGATATAGTCATGCCAAATATCAAGCATTAAAAATTAGCCGTTAATTTTTTATAAATATTTGAAGTTACGCTCGAAACATCGCCATTTGAAACGACCGATAAGTGTGACGTCACTCAGCATCAAAATTCCGTTCACAGTCCTTGGTTGACAGCGTCCTGCGAGCAGGTAGATTTAGATTATGGTTATGTTGTTATGTATGCAGTTTATGATAGATTTGACATTGACAACACCAGCAGCACATGGCGTGGCAGCGGTGCGACCCGATTATTACTGCCCTTTGACGTCAGGACCCATAGAAATACGTTTTTGATCTCGTCAAGAATTTCGAATTATTTGGTATTTTCAATTGAAGATTTTGAAAACCAGAGATAAGGTATTATATCCTTTTCCTAATTGCATCATTTATTAGGATGATTGTTATTGTATTTTATTATTTATTTCATATTTAATTTAATGTGCAAGTTCCCTATTGTCATGGACAGAGAAAATTTGGGGGGATCGATTAAATATAAATACCGCAGTTTTAGAAGTGGAAGGCAGTTGTCAGTTGAGTTGCCAGTTGTTAGCAGTCCAGTCCAGTTGATTATAGTCTACAGTACCTAATGATTCAGAAGAGTTGAAATTCGCGAAAGTTCTTATTAAGGCCTCGGGGAAAAACGTGTTCGATTTAACTTAGAAAAAGTCCGGAAAATTGTGAAAGAAATAACATTTGAAATTCGTTCAACTTGGGTGCGGGCTCTAGAAGATTTTGAGTAATTAATTAAGTAATTTTACGTGTGAAAAGTTAAATGTAATTACTTTATTGGTTAATAATTTTCTGACTTTCATCAATGATTCTGAATGATAAGAGTGAATTAACAATGACTTTTAATGCCTAAAAACTTGAGTGATTTTTACTAGAAAAACTTTTTGACTTTATAATTAACTTTAGAACTTTATTGCATAAATATTAATAACTCGAGTGTCTTGACTATGGAACATTATTGCATAACTTTAATTGCCTTCAGATATAATGACATTCTAATTTAATTGTGCTAAGAAAATATGAAGTGAATTTATAATGCTCTTAACAATATACAATTTTGAGTAGGAATTATGAATTAAACAGTTGGGTTTATTAGCTAGGCATAGGAATCCGAAAATAGATTGTTCTGATTAAATAAACTATATTAAATGGAATAGGAAATTTTGAAAAGCAACTTGATGTTCATGAAATAGAATTGTTGTCTTAAAATATTGGAAACTTGTTAAAGGAAACTCATTGTTCATGAAATGAATTTTGAATTAGGGTTTTATTTTTCAAGTAGAAATTATTGTAAGGTTTTATAAGAATAAGTTAGTAATACCTATATTAATAAAACAAATAGGTAATTATTTTGGGTTTTTTATAAGCAGTCAGTAAAGGACTTAGAAATTTTAAAGAATTTATAGAAAGGAATGAATCGGAAGTGTTGAAATGAGTTAACTTATAAGTTATTAGGAATAGTAGGAATAGGGCGTTTCTTTATTAGTAGGGATATTTCAGTGGTCCGTAATAATGACATTTTGAACGGATGTGAAGTAATTGAATTTAGAAAAATAGATGAGGCTGTCAGAATTGGAAGATATTTTACTGTTTTAAATTTTTGGTTTTATGTATAATAAAATATAATTTAGTAAACCTCAATAGTTTGTTTCTCTCTCTTGGAAATAGACCCTTCCACAATTTTATAGGTAGCAGCTCCAAGGAAATAAACACCATCAATATACCGCTCGCCATTTACCAGCTTACTAATTACATAGAGTACTTGGGGCGTTTTGCTACACTATATTGAATCACAATTCAGTGCAATTGATAATCGCGACTCAAGATTTGACAAGACAATAATTCTGAAAGATGTTTTAGTCCTGAAAACTATTATTTTCATGAGTTTACAACTGATCGCTTACTATATTAATAGCAATACATTCCTGTTACAAATACCCATACTTATGATTCCTCATTTCTCTGAATTATCTAGTGAATTCTTTTTTTCAGAAGGTCTAAGCTATCTTACGTTTTCCATTTCCATCCATCCATCCTCTGTCTTATTTCACTTTTATTTATTTAAAGATCAAGTATTTCATTGCCCCAAAGAAAATTCTCCAATAGTTTAATCCTGTTTTAGACATGTTGTGATGAGTTTTTATTTCTCTCGGGATTATCCAGAGGACATCTGGGCCCGTATTCTCGTCACCGGGAACAGCGTTCTCTCAAGAGAACGATTGGCTCTGTCTTAGTCACCCATATTGTTATTTCCATAATACTGACAAAGACAGAGCAATCGTTCTCTTGAGAGAATGCTGTTCCCCCGTTACGAGAATACGGGCCCTGGTGTCCCTCTATATGTTTTTCTTTGGAAAAAGGAATTTATTACAACCAGATTGTTTTCAATAGTAAATTGCAAAATTGAATCAAATCAAGATGCCATTTGAAAGTGGTGGAAAGTTTATCAAATAACAAGTTGGTCAACATAAGAAGCAGTGAATATTATTCACATCTTGGACACTGACAATTCTTTCTCAACTCAAATAATGTTATGATGGGGCCATCAGAAATATGATTATTCAGCATAAGTTCACTAGCTCTCAGTCTATATTTATTAGATGGTTGAAGCAAACTACTCAATATTTCTTTCATAAAGCAGTTCAAGTCCAGTCGTATTATAATTCTTAACATTAATTTTCATTTTTAAAAAAGGAAGATCTGATCTAATATCGCAACAAGGTACACGTTTTGGCGGGAATAAGTTCAAAAAGCAAGATGGTCCCTAAAATTCGACTCGAGATATTTTTGTTTGAATCGATCTACAGATTTATTTTAATATTATTGTTTAATAGCAGCCATCCTCAGCAATTTTTTGTTTATTTAGTATTTTTTAATGGCGAAATTAACAGTAAAGTAACTGAAAATTATCTATTTTGGATTCGAGATAAACGAGCACCAGTCATATTTATATTGAGATTCAAAACTAATTGACTATAACTTTCGAATGTGACTTCTAAAAATTTCCTGACAAATGCTCTTTTATCCAATATCCTTATTACCTTAAGCCTATCATAATTATTCTATTCAATAATTAATACATTATATCAATGTCTTAGGGTCTAGAGCTTTTCATTTTCTTATTAAAAAAAAAAGACGACAGCAGTATCTCAAATAATACTGACAATAATTATTAATTAAGTTTAAACAAATGTGTATAATAACTAAGAGAATAAGAAAAAATGCAGGTACGTTGAAAATGAGTAACAGAATGGTTCTGCGACAAACAATTGTCGCATAAAGAGAAATTTATAAAAATATAGGGCAAGATATTTTATCAATAAAAAATAAAACGTGTTTTCTAATATCACTCTTTTTAAAATGGGAAGAAACTTTGGGAAGAAGCGTTTTATCGTCGAAAAAAACGGAAAAATCCTTTTTTCTTTTCTGGTGGCGGCGCCATCAGCATAGGTACTTGATTCTTATGGGTGATACGTATCTGAGCATCGAAAATAATTATGAGTTTTAATTTTAGAAGATACAATAATTACCGTTGTTGGTGGTTGCATCCAAGGCTCTCCGTCAATTTGCATTGGAAAAGTTTTTTTCGTTTTTATGGTAACTGAGGAACATTGCGCCAATCTTCTACCGCTGGCAGTGATTCCCATTTTCACTTGGCCCATGTGCAAACAATTATCTAATCCTATCACTTCTATTAGTCCATCACCGATATCTGAAATAATTTTTTTAGATCAAATCAGTGGAATTGGTATGTGTTTCAAGGACTGAGGAAAATGGTGCAAGTTTAAAGACTAATAAGAGGGCCACTTGTAGAATAAGCCAATTCTGTATCAGTTTTCAGGATTATGAAAACACTAGTGAACAGAAACTTGTCCTTTATGATCGTTGTTATTACACTATGATTCATAATATGAACTGTTCTGTACAATATTTATTTAATACCTTATACTTTTAATACAAATTGATCAAAATAGTAAGAAAAGAAGATGATATCCACAGCCCCGAACTAAGCTGTGTGGTGCAATCATCACTGACATAATATATCTTCCCAGGTGTACAAGTATGTTCCATTCTTCGACATTTCTCGCTCTAGTCTAAAATGAAATAGTTTAGAAGGTTTTGCGTTCTATATTCTCTTCTAAATCTAGGGGTTTTTGTTTTAGTGCGTTCAAATCCTTTCATTTGAAGCTCCATTGTTGTTAGACTGCTTTGTGTGTCATCATTTTGTATATTTTCTTCTGAAATGTTCATATCTTCTGCAAACCCATCATCTGTTTGAAGAGATGTTGGAGTAGAATGAATTGATGAATTTTCCCCATATTCATTTCTATTTCCTATTTATGGGTCATGATGGAATATTTATTTTGAAAGTAGGTATCCAATAACAAATGTAGTAGAATTCCATTGTTGATTTCTTCAACCTGATCATTATATCTCCTTCTCAGCTGATTGAAATGTAATCTGAGAAGACGTCGACGATCACCTGGTATATGGACATTATCCATAACATTTCCAATTTTTTCAATGATTTCCCCCCGCTTCCAAGTATAGGAATTATTTCTAAATATTTTTGCAAAAACCAGTAAGCTTCTGGGGGAAAGTCTCTATGATGATGAAAGTCTGGATTATCATGGGAAATATATCTTGTGATTTTTGGTATTCATCTACAATGCTTGATTTGTCTTGTGGCGTCAGCAAATCCATTATTATCCGCATTTTTCCTCCCAATAAATGTTCTACTAGGGATTGTCCATCTGAAGAACTGACATTTGTTATAGACCTATATGCTACTAGAAATTGGCTTACATATGTTCTTTTTCTGACTGCTCCTTCCTTTTCATTTTCAACAATGCTTTTTTCAATGTATTCACAAATCCTTCAGCTTGACCATTGGATTGTGGTGAGTATGGTGGTGTACGTATATCTTGAATGCCCTTTAAACAATAATTCTGAAAATTTTCACCATGTGAATCATTATCAGATTCAATAGTATGTATAAGGAATTACGAAATAATAATTTCCATTCACAGGACCTGCATGTGTCTATGTGAAGACTCTCCCAAACATTCTGTGCAATAGGCCAAAGTGATATCTCTTCTCTTGGTGTCCTTGCAACTCCTGCACATGAAGAGTGATGTCATCATCAATGTTGGGCCAGTAAACATAACTTCTTGCAATTGATTTCATACGAGCTTCTCCAGGGTGTCCTTGTCCTTGATGTAACTTTTTGAGTAGGTAAATACTTGATAACAATGAACTGCTATTCGGCTTCCAAACATCAAAAATCGTCGTACTATAGATAAATCATCTCTTCGTGAATAAAACTCCATTTCATCTGCATTTCGTTGATGTTTGAAAAGCCATGGATATTGAAAGTAGCGTAAAATATTTCTGAATACATTGTCTCTGAGTGTTTCCTGATAAATATTTTTAAACGTGACCGCTAATGATCTTAGAGTTTCATCAAAAATATGACAATCCTCCGACTCAACTCGCACAGAATCAATTAATCAGATTACTGTATAATCTCTCTCATCCATATATTAATATATCATCCACATTGCTATTTATCAATCTTAACAAAACATCTGCATGATCAGACTATCTGGTTTTGACATATTCAATTTGGAAATCTTATGCTCTCAACTACAATGATTTCCATATTTGGCAATCACTGATCAATAAATCTCATGTATTTCCATCCCACAAATGGAGACTGATTGCCAATGATTTCCAGATATTTTTGAATGATTACCAGGTGATTTCCATTTTTTCTGGGGATTCCTATATATCATTCCCAATTGATTACCTGATTTCCTCGATGATTTCCCACAATCATCTGATTTCCCGCTGATTTTATTACGAAAACAATGTCTAATTGTTAAGCTTCACATTGATATGACCATCAAAATAAAGTCTTTTCTCTTATAAAAACACGTTTCCACTGAAAAAATGGCAACTTCTGTATTTGCAACTCTTCCAAAAGTTAGCAACTCTAATTTTCATGATTGTCCACACCCACATCGATTTTGTTTTAAATATAAATAGTTGTTGAGCCCTAAATACCATTGCGTGTCTACACTGCATAATATGGATCCAGAATAATGGATATTTCTAGGATTTCACTAGGATATTCATCTGAATCGGAGACATCTTCAGCTAGGGTTTCACTCGACAAACTTATTCCTGATTCTGATTCAGATGTGCTATCGTCTCTGCTTCTCGCCCTGCCTAGTATTTATTCTACTTTCCCTTTTCATTTTCTTATTGCCTTGGATTTTTTTCTCTCTCTTTTTTCTCAGGGACATTCCCATAGCTCTTGATACTCGATCGACAAACGTCCCTTAGAGTTGAGCCCTGAATAATCGTCTCAATGGTAGCGCATCGCAATTGCTTAACCCTGATGTGTAAAGATTCTATGTCTTCTTTTGGCAAGTCGGATTCGAAAGAAGATTCATATTTCCATTTTCATGATCTACAACATTGTCATACTTTAGGTCTATTCTCACAGAAATCACAAACCAGTCAAACTGGTTGTTGGCGATTTGCACCAATCAAAAACGCTCTGACTGGTTTGTGATTTCTGTGAGAATAGACCGATCTTCATCCCGTTCTTCTTCTTCTTCAAGTTCTAAACTCTTCGTAGTCTCGGGTTCAGTTATTGGGAAACTCGTTGGGATATCAAATTGATTTCAAATTGTCTAGCACTCAATGTTGCCTAAAACGTAGTCTTAAAGGCACATACACAACTGACCGCAGTACGCTGTATTGTTTGAAATATGTGATATGCGATTTCTGGGTTAAAATGAGATGATATTCCCAGCGATTACCACATAATTCTCAGCGATTTCCAATTGATTCCTATATAATTCCCATGGAGTCCTAGGAGATTCCTAGCAATTCACAGGTTATTCCCAGGGACTCCCAAGTGATTTCCAGGTATTCCTGATTGATTACTATGTGATTCCCAAAAAAAATGTATAATGCTTTCCACAAGTGGTTTATCCCTCGCTCTCAACACTAGAGCCCATCTATTATCTGCAATCTCTTGGCTGTGTTAAAAGAACTCCTTTTTTTGATCCAAAAATTGCTAATAATGGTTTGTGATCAGTTTAGTAAAATAAAAAATCTTCCAAATTCCCGAAACAGGGGAGCAGCGTTTCTAGGAGAACGAGTATTCCGTTTTTGATATGCATGCTTATAGTAGTAGTACTGGGGGCACCTGAGCCTGAGAAATTTTTCGATACCGTGGGAAAATTTCTAGATCGGCGGCGCATTTGATCTGAAATTTAGGGGATTTGGCCCGGGTCAACCCCAAATTTTTCGACGCCATGATGTTATCGGTGGCGCCATCTAGCGTACATAGTGTGAAGTTCGATGTGTCCTATTACAGAATGCTGTAGTCGTTAATAGAAAAAATTGGTGAATCATCATGCCGCCGACGTTCAATGTGGAAACAAATAGGGGTATCATGTTTTACGGTTATTTTTACTTATAACTGATGAGCGTTACCATTCTAGCAAAAACAACAAGCATTTATATTTCGTCGATGATAAACATGCATGTATATTTCCACTGCCGACTAACTACATATACAGGGTGTATATTTTAAGTGTTACCACCATTGCTATATCCTAAACGGTAAAAGCTACAAGGTCGGTTAAATTAGAAAAAAATTGCCTTTTTTGATGCCCATTCAAGACTCGTTTACAGTGTTGCCAAATTCCTTTTAGTTTATGAAATACAGGGTGATTTCTAAGAAACGCCTAAAAATATTTCATAAATTATTTCGAAAACTATTAATTTTCGGGACACAATTTAAATTTGAAAGTATTATAATTTTTTCCGCTCTACAACATGGCGTCTTTAAATTTTGAATCCGACGTTTCGTGATTGAGCTACCATCATCAACTTCATTTTTTTAAATACGGACCTGGATTTTTAATTTTATTTCTAGAAAGCACACTTTATCCCCCTTTTAACGATATACCTCTTAAGTATCGTTGGTCGACGTTTCTGATCTAAAAAGTGATCATCAGTGATTTTTACCAAAATTTCACCTTATTTCGGCCCTAGTTAGCAACATGTATTTCAGAAACTGAAAGGAATTTGGCAACACTTTAAACGAATCTTAAATGGGCATCAAAAATGGCAACTAGTTTCTAATTTAACCGACCTTGTAGCTCTTACCGTTTCGGATATAGCAATAGTGGTATCACTTAAAATATGTATATGCAACTGCTGATATAAGTAACAAAGACGGAACACTGGCTCTCCTGGTAGTATAAAGTTTTACTTTTCATAATATTTACTATCTAATTTTCTAAGTAACAGCCTGACTTCCGCTCCATCTGATAATATTTTTGCAACTTCTGTGAATATAGCTCCAAATCTAGAGAACCATACATCAGATGAAGCTCCTGAATCAGAATCAAAATGAAATTCTGATAAAGAATTACCAAGAACGTCCATGCGAAATTCATCACTGACAAAACGATCTTCTTTCAAAGTGGCTTTTCCAAAAGACTGCTGTTGCTGCTGCTGTACTTCCATGAACTTCATGAATGCTTGCTGAAATTCTTATGCCATGGTAGGCTGATTCTCTGAAATCCTCTTCGCCAAATGTTGTGATTACACTATGATTACTAATATGAACTCTTTTACACAATATTTAATAATACTTTAAATAAGTACGAAGTAAGATTGAAGAAACAAAAATGTTAAACAAATTGCTGATTCTCTTCTTACCTTGAACTGCCACACTTAAATCAACTGAATTGAAGCTGCTAGTGCTGATATCCTTCTCTCGACCGATTTTCCTGCTTCTCCTCGACGCCGCCAAATGTTCACCCCACAGATTCGACCCTCCGTGAGTATAAGGGATGTTGAGAAAAGTGATACCCTGCAACGGTAGGCCGTTGGCCAAATCCAAACCGACGCCGTCGCATTCGATTTCGACGGATTGCTGCAGATTTTTGCAGGACGCGAAGAGAGTTTCCGTAGTGGCGAACTCTACGTACCACAGTTTGTTTTTCATTCGGCTGTTGAATCGGTCCGGGTTTTTGCTGCGCTCGTTGTGGAATTTGTTGCAAATTGCTGCATCCTAGGAAAGAGATTATATTTAGGTATTATATTTTAATAACAATTACCTAATCAAGGTTTTACGTATTTATGTTTACCAAGAATTCTTGATTCGAAAGAGAATAAGTAAGTATTGAAATATGATTCTGTCATTCATTGTTACCTACTAGTTACCTACTTACCACACCAATTGAAAAATAATTATTTATAACGTTGTAAGGTATCCTTGTATCGATGGTTTTGATGTTGCTCGGATCGATTTGGGCAGTTTCCGATAATTCTATGGACCATCTAGAAACAAAATTACGTCTTGACGGATTGATCAGAAAAGTAATATGATGATTATTTACCTGTCCATCATAATTGTAGAGCCTCTAGCCACCTTATGCAATATTTTATGGATCGATTCACCCTCATAGCCACCACCCCACCTCAAACATCGTGCCAAATCGTTGCCGGTGCCTAAAGGAATCACCGCTACTGCCGGTTGACATTCTAATTCGACTTTATCTAAGAAAACATCATCTTTTTTTTTTTTTAATACAAAATGTATGTTTTTACCCATAGATTCTAATACCCAGCCGACAGTTCCATCGCCGCCACAACATACCACCTTGAAATTCGGAACGTCTTTGAACATGTTGAGGCCTTGCATCGGACCACCTTGACTGGAACCTGAAAGTTTCATTGTTATAACAGCAGTGGTTTCATTGGTTTGGGCTTACCTAGGATATGCACTTGTCTAGGGTTGAGTATGTATTGGAACTTTCTCAAAATCTTGTAGCCCTGCCTGCCGCCGGATTTCGGATTGATAAATACCAACAGCGGCACCGTGTTCGAGGAGGGTGTAATTTGGAAGGACATCGCGGGCTGCTTGGTTTGGTTCGATGTTAACGAACTCTAGAATAATAAAAATTGGTCAGTATATAACTGGATAGAAAGTTAGCAGTTTCAATAACAGATTCTAGCTGCAGCTACTTTTCTAAACTAGAAAGAAAAGTAGTAGATTTTATTAAAGTCAAACCCACAGGAAGTTAGAGCAGATTGATTCGAATTGAAGTGGAATGAAATAGTCCAAGACTAGCTGAATAAAATTATATCTTTACGATATTTAGATAAACAACCATCCTTACCTCAAGATAGAGGTTAACCACCTACTCAATAGAATGAAACATGAAACGTCTGGGCAAAGTCTACAAGAATCCAATGCAAAAATGGATTTTGGCAAATCCGTTAAATACTGAGAGTAAAAAAATGTATACTGTTTGGTTCTTAATGTTCTTATTCTTTTAATAGAGTACCATTTGGTTCGAATATTGCTGCAGAAGTTTTTCAAAGGTATATCTAACAAACAAATTTCTAGCGACATTGAAATTGTTTTCATATACATATATTGATGATATACTTACTATTTTTGCTGAAATTCTAGAGCAAAATGATCTTATTTTGGAAAAAGCCATGTTACGAGCTACAGACAACAATATCAAATTAAATGAAGGTAAATTTCAATAGTTATCACTTAAAACAAGTATAGGAAAGTTATTTGGGTCACATATTTGCGAATGGTACAAATCAAACATGATAAGAGAGTTATTTCCTGTTATTTCAAATTATGACATTCCAACTGACAGAAATACTTTACAAAGATTTCTAGCATAGAGCTCTATGCATGGAGAAATATAATAAACCAAGGATTTCTAGGTCTAGTAAATAATGTGAGACATTTTATAACAAATTTATCTATATTATGTAGAATTGTTAAAGGAAAATGTTATGAATGGATTGATAGTCATAATAAATGTTTTAACAAGAGAAAAGATATAATTGCTAAGGTATTACGACATTTTGATAGGTTTAAAGTAGCCTAGGAGTTGTCTGTTATCCACTGCATTCAAGAAAACAATGAAAGTTATACAAATGTATCAATTAGAGATATTTTAAGTTCCAAATACAAGAACAAAAGAGAAATTCAATGGAATTGCAAACACCTGATAAGTTTTACAGACAAAAAATCAGGTAGAGTTTCAAAACCTCCAAATCGTTTTGGTCAAGGCCAAAGTTTAGGATAACAATTAAGTAAAACGCTGTTAACTTTTTAAGATTTTTAATAAAAGTTCTTATTGAAATATGTTCTGATATTCCAAGCTAGATATAAGATTGTGAAATGCAAGTCAAAGTAAAGTTCAAAGTGGTTTTGTGTATGGCTTCAGTAATTAAAGTATATAAGTAAATAAATAACAGTGTTTCGAGTTACGATGAAACAAATGTAGAATCTTAGGAGTGGTCGCTAATTTCACTGTTTGAAAGTAGTAAGTAATATAAGAATAATTACTTTCTAGACAATTCCAAGAGTCCAGCAATATGAATATAAAGATAGCAGCATCAAATCGAGTACTAAACTATAGTTGTTGACAAAGAAACTAATGAATAAGTTGACGTCAGAGGACTAAAACTTTCGCCAAAATTAGCTGGCTTTTATTTGTTTAGTTTGATTCGGTAATGAATGCCTACTTTGTGAAACAAGCTTCAGACCATAACTCCAAAAACAATCCATTCAAAAGAAGAAAAAAAACTCAACCCAGGCAAACAAAGTGGGACGAAAATCTAACATATCAAAAGTTTGTTTCCGAGTAGTTAAAACTTCCTGGAAGTCGAGAGAGGAAACTTTTCGAATCCTTTGCATATTTACATAAATAAAAACTTTTGAAACTTGATTAAAATAATCTACTTACAATGCTAACATTGTCCCCGCCGTATCTCGATCCTCGTTTCTGTACTGATTTTTGCCTGTCCAAAACTATAGGACATATTGCGGTGGGCGGTAACATGTGCACAGCATGTTCTCCTAGACCACATTCGGCTTTGACTTGGGATACGCATTTGTTGTGCAGCTAAAAAATATTGTTAATTATGAACAACAAAGGCCGTAATTATAACTTCATGTAATAAGACATTCTCCGAGTTAATTTAAATTAGTTGCGCTTCAAAAACAAGCTTTATATTTCATAAGAGATCATATTTACGTTAAATTAGCTTTACGAGAGGCTCCATATTTCAAAATAGGCTATTAGCAGTTCCGGGATATCGCGTTTCAAAGTTTATTTCTAACAAACTGCCATCTAATTAATTTGTGCATAATTTAAACATTTCGTTCGCTCTGTTTCAATCGGCAAGAGGATTTCAAAAGCGAGATAGGAGCTTCGATTTAATCAACCCTAATCTCGTATAAATCCCGGACTTATGCCGCTCAAATTCTACGTCAACGTGATACGATTCGGCAATCGTAGGCCCAAGGTCCTATGGTTTATAACATGGTTATGCAGTTGTATGAGAAAATCGATTATGAATAATTTCCGAAGTTGATTTGTTGGCCTCCTCGTCTTGATTATTTGTAATCCTCCTTTTGTTCCTCTTCCTGTTGCTTGGCTACATTTTTTATAGAAATTCTTTGTTAAAGTGAAAGTAGTTTGGAGGACTTTTTAGAATCCAATTTTCTTGATCTAAATGAAAGCAAAAACTTTGTTACTTACCGTAATCTGGCACCATCTACAATGCAATCCAGTAACGCCAGATTTGACCGGTTTCCGGCATCTGCCGCATTTACCGTGACAATTACCTTCGACCCAATGATGCAGCAAAGTTTGAGAAGATTTTTTACTTTTAACATAAGTCGCTATACAACTAGCCGGTGCTCTGGCAACGCACCTTTCGTGCACGGTAAATTTACAAACTAGAACCCAAGAATCATAAACTCAGAAATGTATAGTAAAATAGAACTTACATGTACAACACAAGCCTTTTTTGCCCAATCCCACCAACATGTTCAGACACAAATTGCAATAAGCCGGCCTGCTGAAATGTTTGAGCCTCCATAAATGTTTGCCATCCTCTTTGACGTTCGAGTCCAGTCCTAAAAGGACCAAAAGTGGAATCGTTGTTAGACCACCACGTTTCCATTCTTCTAAAGACACCAAACCATCTTTGTTGAAGTCAATTTCTATCATCATATCTTGAAGGATCTAATAATTGATAAAGTACCAATTAGAAGTTATCTTGACAACCCTTAACAAAGATCCTACAAAACTAAACAACTTCCCCCACGTCAGCAATATTTAATTTCTCATTAGGCTGTATTAGATGCAGCCAAATTGTGAGGTAATCTTCACACACTTAGTAAAATGGTTTTCACTTTTTAGAATCGCGAATACGGCCTAATATTCATCTCCAATGGGATATGACACACATTTTATACAAAAACTTACAGGTTTCAATTCTGACACATCCCATCCCAAATATTCCGCAACAGTCATCATTTGATTAACTATACAATCAACTTCGTTTTTGTCAAGATAACCATTTCCATCTGAATCGTATAGTCGAAACATAACTGAAATTTAAAAGTTTACAAAAAACGATTTTTCGAAGATATAATAATTACATTCCAATTTATCCTCAGGTCTTCCAGCTTCCAGTAGCGATAAGTAGCACACGATGTCCTTCAAAGACACTTTCAAGCTGTTCACTAGCATAGTGTTTTCTATAATGTGCCTTTCTTCTGAAAACAAATAAAATGCATAAGCTTCTATCTTATTCAGCTTTGCGCATAGCATCCCGCAGGGCTTAATATTAAATCTGTCGTTATCTTTCGGAAACTATTGTCTTTATGTATGTGGCCCGAATTTAGAATTGCCTCAGGATATAGAATAATAATTCTGCAAACATCTGGATATACATAATATATCTGACTATCAAACATTTTGGCTACAATTTCACAATAATTCGCATCATCTACGTCATGGCGTATAAAGTATACAATTCTTTTTGGAACCAGCTGGGATCGACAATATATATGATTGAAGAATTTTATTGAATAACCCTTTTCTTACCGTCTAATTTTCCGTTATTAACCAACAATGAATTGTTAGACTTTTTCGAAGAATTTCTGGAAATCTGACTGTGCGATGGACTGGAATCTGCACTCTTTTTCCCAACAGCTTCGTGACAGGAATAGGACGTGTGCGTTATTGTCAACATGGGATGAACTGTACCTGGAAAAGGGGGTAGCAATTTGTTACGAAATTGAAACTTCTCAAAACTTCCATTTTAACGACGTCAATTTTGCGACGAAAAACTTTGGTCGTTAAAGAAAACGTTTCGTGCTACCCGGCTCGCGATTATATAAGCGGTTGCGTGGTAATTTATCACGTGAGCAGCTAAAATATTGAAAACCAATTTATCTAAACAATCGACCATCACGCTTTTCTCGTGCGGCGTAAACCGAAATTGAAACTTTATACCGACGCTATTTGTTTCTGCCGGTGACGGACCGAACATAAATTTCATTGTTGCTGCTCGAGAAAACTGGAAAATAGATTAGGCGAAAACGATATTACAGTTTAACGATCGTTCTATGGGGAAAATTTAGAACAAATGGAATTTTTTTTTGGTATTAACAGAACAATATTTATGGAAGGTATAATAGTTTTATAAATCTAATCTATCGGAACCTGGAATATCAGGAAGACAATAAGATACACTGAAGATTTGGAGATGGTTGTGCAATAATTCAATGATGCCTTTAATGAGAACTGCCCATTTATAACAAGGAAATCCACCAGGGACGTGCCCTGGTGGAACGAGAACCTTACAAATTTTAGGAGGAAAGCTAGAATAGAATCCAACAAAGCTAGCGAAATATAATATAATACCACGTTGAAAAATTTCAAGAGAGAGCTGACAGGATCCAAGAGGAGGTCTTGTCAGCAGGATGGGGTAGTATCTGTGGAATCTAGTTGCTTGATGTGTTTACGGACGGAGGACACCGTGTTGTCGGATATGCTGACTGCATAGTTATCATCTCACAAAACAAATTCAACTCTACAGTTAGGGAGCGAATGGAAAACGCTCTAGACCGAACAACAAGATGGGTGGATAGAGAAGGGTTAAATTTCAGTCCCAACAAATCCATCATCGTGGAACTTACCGGAAAGCGCAAAATACCTAGGACCACATAGACTAAAGGAGGAAAACATAAAAATTCCTAGCGAGGTCAAGTACCTGGGTTAACACTGGTCAAAGACACAACAGGGCAGTTGTTAGAGTGCACAGTTCCAATAGATTAGGTTTTTTGAATGTACTATGTTCTAGTGAGGGTATATTGCTATAGGTGATGTAGTTTTTGTTTTAGGAAAAAAAAACTAGTACCTACAAACTAGTAATTGTTACTTACGTTGATATCTATTGTTGATTCTTTCATTCGTTCATTCGTATTCTTGGTCTGTGTGAAAGAAGGTAGAAAGTCAAAAAAAGTGTCATGCGCAAAGTGTAAAGACTGGCCTGCTCATGGATAAAGGGATTAATGTGGTCCACACCAACAGCAGACATGGAGACCCTACTAAACCTCCCACCTTTGCACATTGTGATACAGGGGGAAGCAAGGATGGGAACGTGTAGACTGTAAAAGACAACCGCCTACAACAAAAAGACGGGACACATGGCAATCGCAGAGCTTGTGAGGGGAGATTTTCTCAATATGAAAACGGAGTACATGCCAAGGCGACACTGCGTCAATAGACTGTTCGACATCAGCTTCCCAAGCAGAACTGAATGGCAACAGGGCATACCAGAGACCAAGAAGCAGGACCGGACCTGGTATACGGACGGGTCGTAGACTGCGGCTGGTACCGGTACTATGCATTGGACTGGTATGGTCAGACAGTTTCATTAAGACTGGTATGAGAATGCCAGGAAGAACTCAGGGCCTTGGGCGGACCAAAATAAAGTAAAACTTAATCCTTCTTCTTCATGAAAACACAAATTCCTATTCACAGATTACAGATTATTGTTTAAAAAAGATTAAACATTCCTAAATTAAAACAAAAACCAACATTAACTCAACACTCTAAAACATAATTAATACAAAATCCGCGGAATTTCGTAGCAATTATGTTTATACATGCATTTTGCAGTTTTCCATTATACACAAAGTAAATATTCATAAGGTTTGTTTATTGCTTTTTGTGTGTCCAGCATGTATAATAATTAATGCTTAGTATTATATCGATAAACACTCCTCTCAAAGTTTAGTTTTGCACAAAGGATCGGTATCCGAAAACTGATCCAAATCTCACGTTTCTCCAAGTTCTCCTATTCCATTGGAAACTCAATATTATCCGTTTTCGAATTGTATACTCGTTCAACAGAATCGTTTATAGTTGATATAGAAATACAATTTAGCTTGTGTATTACCTGATTTTCCTTTACTGGAACAATCGCAATCCGATTTGTGATGTCCGAGTAGTGTTTCGCCTAATCCTTGTATCCTTTCGACCAGCGATTTTGGTTTTTCGGTTATGCATATTTCTCCTATTGCATTCACATTGGGCGCAGATCCTACAAAGAAAAATGTATTTAGAATAATTTTTCGTTATAAAATCTCGTTTCAAGATTTTCATGTTAAACAAACTCGGGTTTGTTGTCTCCTGCCACTAAAATTTTCGTTTTAAAGCGAACTGGCTCTTTGTCTCCATAGCAAATTTTCTCCAGCGTGCACTCTATCTGGTATAAAAGATTCGACGCTTGGCTTTATTTTACGATTCAAGTAATTCAACTCACTAGACTATGAAAATTTCAGTCGGTGGAAATTTAAATGAATTATACGGTACACACCAGACTCAATGGATTTGCAAGCGACAAAATGAAAGAAAGGAGGTTTTGAATAAACTTTTGGATAACAAAGCTGCAACGAAACAAATCATATTGTTTTACGAGTTAAAAGTTGTGATTTATTTTAACGTCAAGCTTATAGAAAAAAATAATGTAAAAAAATCAAATAGCAGATAAGATTATGTAGATTATATAAATGAGAGTCAATAGCTAATAATAATTAATCATCGATAATATAGAGGAAAGTCTGGATAGATAAACATTTCCCTAAGAGGATCTTGGAAAATAAAGTATTTGGTTTCAGGTTTCTGTCAAGACCCATCTTTGCAGTCATCAGAGTTTTGGAAGTTTTGAAATAAGAGCTTCAAAATCTTTGTGCGTGAACTTTCGGACTGTTCAAAGTCATCAAAATCCTAAGAGACTTGAAACCAAGGTGTCTTTTTAAAATACTAAATTTTTGAGAGACTTCCAATGCTCATTAGGTCTTAAAATCTAATATAATTAAATACTAGCAGAGTAGTGGAATGGGCTTTTCGATGTGAAGATTAACTTTCATTAGATTCAAGTAACATAACATTCATCCATAGTTACATAAACATTAACATAACATTTTATGACGATCAATATTGTCATACTGTATAATGGCACTACATTTCCTTATAGTTGTATTCTCTCTCCTCAACTTAAGGATCTTCTTAGCCCCATGCTTCTACAATGTCTTTCAAAATCTTGATCTGCTAAACTTTTCGTTAAAACATCTGCACATTCCTGGTATTCTTTCGATCTGATTGTGATTACATGAGGTTTGTTCATGAGGCGACAAAAAACAGCTGGGACCAATGAAATTGTTTTGAAACCGGATGAAAATTTTTTGAAACAAACCTCAAGTGACTTCGATCAGTTTGTTCAGATCGAAAGAATACACCTTGTTCATGAGTATTAATATAGTCAACTTTTGAAACACATTCTTATTGTAGTACGTATCACAAATAAAATTGTACAAAATATTTAGGTCTCTTGTGTTCCCACTTTCCTTGAAAATGTATACAGCTTGATTATCTTCTCTTCATACATTGTTAACGGAAAAACATTATATATTTTTAGTTTTCCCACTAAATTTCCAAGCCAGAGCAGCTCACAGTAGAACCATAAGCCTTCAAAGTAAATCCATTTGTTGATTTTTTGTCTAGGCTACTTCCCCAATTTGCATCTGCGTAACCAAAAACAGGCTGACTCATATAAAGTTCATTCTTTATAAACAAAAGACCAACGTCTAAAGTGTAGGTACCTAACATATCTTAATATTCTCTTAAGACATCTCCATTCTTTTTCTGTTGCATTGCTCTGATAGCGACTGAAGTAGTTAATAGCAAAATTTAAGTCAGGTCGAGTACACAACATTACATACATTAAACAACCAATTAGTTCTCTGCAAGGTTTCCCTTCATTGATAGATTCTTCCAACGGCTCTGTTTCTTGATACTTGAATTCCATCGCCGTTTTTATTGGGTGACATTCTTCGATTTCAAATGGCTTAAGCAGATTTTTAAGATAGAGTTTTTGACTTAAAAATATACCTTCACAAGATCTTTCAAATTTTATTCCGAGAAAACTTTCAAGTTATCCTATCCTCCCAATATCTTTCATCTGCAATTCTGTACCAATTAATGAGGATGCAATTAATACGGTTGAATTATTAGTGGACTGTATAGCGAATATTGCGTCCTTATTACACGAAAAAAAAAAAAGAAATGAAGTGAGGTCATGCAAAAAGGTTGTTTGTCGCTTACCCAACTTGGCTTCTGTGGTCTGGTAACTTTGGGGCGCCCCTGTAAGGCTTAAACACACGATCAATTATTAAACGGCGAAAAACGGACGGAAAACTCAACGGTTGCGAAAATCTTTTGCGAAAGGAACCGCCGAAAATGGTGTGGGTTCACACCAAACCGAATCTATGTTATCGATGGTACTGACTGTACTTTCTTAGATTCTTTTAATTTTTAACTATTGTTACTTATAGTTAAAATTAAATCATCTACCTATACCAGTAGAAGAATCTTGGTATTGCCTTCAAATTTGTTGTAGAGACACTTCATTTGCACACCTTATCATACCTTCCAAACTTTTTCAAAAATGAGTCCAATCAATCCAATCTAAGGTTCCAAGCTCTTGGACCCCATAAGGCAACTTTTCTAACTTGTAGATTACTTGATTCATTTTCAAAACCATCTCGTAACTTAATGTATGCTTCCTCATTCAAAAATGTAAGTAAAAATGTGACTTTCATGTCCATTTGGAGAGCTTTTAAATTTTCTTGACTTACTATTGACTTGTACCGTTGTCAAATGTACTACCGAGGCATAAATCTCAGTACAATCATACCATTTTCTCTGCAGAAATCTTCCGGCCACAAGTCTAGCTCTATACCTACTGACATTTTCATGTTCATCACGTTTTATTTTGAAAATCCACTTCGCGTCTACCGCTTTCGTGATTGAAGGATATTCTTTTTTAAACCAGGCATGGTTTTGCGAGATCTCAGTATTTTGTGAGATCTCGTAAATCTTAGAAAACCTATTTAATAAGTGTAAATTATGATTTTATCTACAAGCGTTTGGTTATGACGTTTTTACATAACTATTTTTCCAGTATTTGAGTTATGTCATGAGGCTCATAACACAACTAGTTGTATTATGGACTAGGTTATGAATTCCTAACACAACTAGTGGTGTTATGGACAAGGTTATGAATTCATAACACAACTATTTTTGGTGATTTGACAAATGTCAAAGGTAAACCTGTAAAGGTAAAATGAAGGTATACAACGACTAATAAACGAAAATGATTGAAAAAAAAATCTTATTTTTCGCTTTGTAGATAAAAAGTTGTACATCACACGTGCGCTAAACATGACTACAAAACTCGTGTGATTAGAACGACTCGGTCTACGACCTCGTCGTTCTAATCTTTCACACTCGTTATTGTAATCATGTTCATAAACGCACTTGTAATGTAAATAACTATTATGATGTTTATCTCTATCATAATTTTATAAAGTAATAACGGTCGTAACGGAATAACGGCAAGTGAATGAAACGATTTTTAAGCATATTTGTTTATTTATTAAAGAAATTATTGGTTTGTTCTCACAAGAGTCTCCGACAGTTTGCAAACTGTCAGAAACAATCGCTCAGCTAATTTACCGATTTTCCTTGAAACGACGGGATTGAAAACATGTATGGGCAATGCTCTCTGACAATTTGCAAACTGTCAGAGACACTTGTGAAAACAGATCTTATATGGAACATTACTAATCCAAGAGCCGGCAATACTATAACGGGTATGTGATCGTTGCAATGGATAATTTCTACATAAAACATAGTAACCTTTAAACCAAATGGATGGGTTGCCTCGATTCTCACGCCGTAAAGTTGTTTTATAAAAAGATACTTTAAGAACCATAAGCGCAACAAATAAGAAGTACCTTGCGGTGTAGGGGGTTCTCAGCACATGCGGCAAACACTTTATTAACACAATTTCATGTTTCTTTTTTTGTCTAAAGACCTACAGCTGTATGCAAAATCCTCTTCACAGAGTCCTCTTTTAACTTTGAAAGTGACTTTGAAGGCTGTCACTTTCAAAAATTTGTATTTAGCAAGCAAAATAACGCGTGCCCTCGACATTTCAATGAGGGTTGCCATCATTTCCGGCCATCAAAATCGAGGCCACCCTATATATTATTTGAGAAGACATATTAAAGAATATATCTACCAATTTTCAGCTATTGCAACGATACCATTGTTCCTTCGGAAAAAGAGGGGTAGTTTACACCCAGCCATCAAAGGGTTACGGCCATGAGAATCGAGGCCACCAGGCCACCCATCCATTTAGTTTAAAGGTAACTATGAGCTATTATTTTATGTGAAAATTATCCATTGCAACGATCACATACCCGTTAATATTACCGGCTCTCCTACTATAAGTATTAAGATCAAAAAATTTCCAGCACGCTCACTATAATAATAATTACAAGTTACAACTGATAAAAAAAAAAAATTGCGCATGCGTGGCGGGCATGCTCCCTGCCCCGCAAACCGTTTAACAGTCCTAGCGTGCCTGCGCCTCGTTGGTCGTTGTCGTAAAAAGATAAAACACATTAATTCGCGCACTTCCGCACGCCTACAAGGTCAGGAGATGAGTTGCTATACAATCTTGCAAATCTTGCGAGATCGCGCAATACGTGTGAGATTAATCCTGTAAAATTGGTGCGAGATCTTGGTATCACGCGATCTCGGTATACCGAGATTGCATTCCCTAATTCCTTGTATATATTATCAGAAAATTTATGTGGTACATTTACATTATCTACATAAGATTCTGCACTAAGTGCTATTGCTACAAAGTCTTCTAGAAATTTGGGCTGTGTATTTATTCTGGTACTTCTCCTGTCCCTTCATCATCACTTTCATCTTGTAAACGCACATTTCTCAATTCTATTGTTCTTACGGCTGTTGTGACTCTCCAGACATACTTTCCACATTTTTAGTACTGCTTCCATTGTTTGGTAACTCTGATGTTTCATCACATGTCCTATCTTCGCTGTCATCATCCGATACTACTTCAAAACTCTCAATTATCACTCCTCCTGAAGTTGTTGATGACTTTAGATTAAATGAAGTTTCTTTAAATTTGAAATAACACCATCATACACACCTTTATAAACTTTGATTTCTTCTAGATACCAAAGTATGTATCCATTTAAACAATAGCCAACCATCTAACATTTCCTAACCTGACTTTTAAATTTGCCGGTGCTGACTGTCTTTGGTATGTGAAGATACGCCACATATCCAAAAACCGTAAATTTGTTATTCTAGGTTTATCTCCAAACCATAATTTTGCTGATACAGCATCTTTGACTGTTTTGGTTGGCCTCCTGTGGATAAAATAGGCAGAAACCATCACTGCCTCCGACCAAAAACTTTTTGACATACAAGCATTCTTATTTTCTCGATAATGTCCCTATTCATTCTTTCCGCTACCAGAGACATATTCTCTCACATTATCGCATCGAAAACGAGAAATTTTAAGATTAAATTGAGTTGTGGACATTGCAACATATGCTTTGACGTTGCAGAATACTTCAGCCTTACTAAGCAGCATGTAACATGCAGTTTAATCTGTATAGTCATCAATTGAAGTCAAAAGATGTTCGGTTTATTCATCCAAAAACATGCATTTTACAAGAATTAAGATCAAATTCTCAACCGGGAACCAATAAAACTTCTCTATTCCATCTACTGATGCTTTAGCTAAAATATCACCTACCTACTTCCTTAGACGGAGCCCATAAGTAGGAAATCCATCTCTTTGAAGTGCAAGAAGCATTTCATGTAACAATGGGAATATTCTACGTTGTCTGATTGTAACTTAGGAAGCAGGCAGACAAATTGATTTGCCAGATGGCTTAAGTACCTACTGCTTACTGGCAGAAAAAATCAAACTGGTATTCTGCCTCAACATTTGTTGAATCTATAGTCTTTACAGCTGTCATTATCGTCTTATAACCTACATTCAAATCTTTTATACCCACATCTATGACACTTGTATCCAAATCGAGTATTGTAACCTTTCTGGTAGTTGGTATTTTGAAGACAAAATTACCTTCATTATTGCTTTAAACATGGTAAAGATATTGCTTCAACAGTAGGGGCTTCATATTTCTTCGATGAATCATCCATTAGTCGATTTTTGACAAAACTCATTGACAAACGATCAGGTAAAAGAGATTCCAATGCTGTTACCACATTGTTATATTGCGATGGCATCGAAAGTAATAAGTGGCAGACAATGTCCATTTCTTTCAACTTTGCACCTGTGTTTTTAAGCTCCCTAAAGTGTTTATCAAATTCTAGGAAACGGGCTTTGAAAGTCAATTGGAACAAGGTGAACTTAAATCATAACTGGTGGCTGACTAGTGGCAGTGCATTTCTTATGGAAAAATAAATATGTATTCCTATTTCTCATTCTGTTCCTGATTTTAATTTGCTTCCAAAAATGAGGTATGGGGAGTAGGACAAATATTATTAAATATTATAAATGCCAGAATACTACCTAATTGATATAGAAAAATATGTTGGAACCAGCAACATCTGCCTTCTGTGACTTATGAGGAAAAATGTACATTCAAAAAAGAACTTTTTCTACAAACGTCACTAAAAGTGTCATTTTTAACGGATGCTGTCAGTGTCTTGAATGCCATTTTATTATACTAGTGTTAAAAGTGATTACTTTTAGCACTAGTGCTAAAAGTAACCACTTTTAGTACGTTTGTAGAAAAAATAGTGTATAATATTCGTGCTAAAAGTGATTTTATTTTGTTCAAAGGGATGGAACACTCCGCCTTCGGCGTCGTGTCCCAAACTTCCCTTTTCACAAAATAAAATGTCACTTTTAGCACTTATATCATAAATAACTATTTTTAGCAATTATTAGATTTTGTTACTTTGAACAGCATTGAAATGTCTTATTAACAAGAAACTGCCAAATTTTACTCAACCTACATAAAATGTTCAATGATTTAAAATTAAAAAATAATGAAAAGTTTTGCTGATGCGTTAATTTCGTCCAAGACTGTATAAATAGAAAACTCCTGCTCGGCAATTAAAAATTCCCTTTTTTTCTTTATCTGTCATGAAAAACTCAAAACGCTTTTTTTCTAGCTATGTGCATATGCGAAAAATGAGGAGCAAACAAGGCACAGGTTAAATACGAAAAAAAAAAGTGCCTTTAGGACTAGAGTTAATGTAAATTGGCTTCATTAAAAAAAAGCCTCCATTAAAAGCGGTGCATAATTTTTTGGAATTAAAATCTCTGTTGCTATAGCCTCATATTAGCGATTATGAATATGCGTCCGGATTTTTATTATTGTGTCCAAGGTTTTAGTATACACATTTTCAAAGCTTCATTGAAATTTCCTCATAAAATTTCACCAGCAAGCTTTGAGAGTAAATTATGGCACAATATACACAGGGTGAGGCAGAAAAAAGCACAAAAAAAAAAACAAAATTGATTAGTAACCTCTATTATGCGATGTTATGGGAGCACAAGCTGTCGTTGAACTGAGCACTGTCATCTCTTTAAACGCTTTACCTTCCACTTTGACACTTTTTCTGACGAAAGACAGGAACAGGTGCTTGCACAGGTCGCGCGGCGCCTCGATTTCCAGATAGGCGTCCAGGAATTCGCAAAAACCTTGAAGATCGATTTCCTAGAACAAAAAAATTGGAATTTGTTTTTTGTTTCATTTTTGCTATCAAAAATGATCATAATGCTAACATTAATTATTTTAAATTATGATCGGACAAGAAAGAGGACAGGCCCTGTGACACCAGCTGGACCAGATTTGGTTTCAGAGATATAGAAAAGTCATTCTTTGATAGATTGTCATGAAAACGTATAGTCTGTCGATTTTAATCTGATACTTCAAAGGAATGTGAACTGGTGGGTCCCTACATAGGAACGCCAATGGTTAATTGACGTCAAACCTGTTTTTGCCATATGAAACACCCTCTCGCTCCTCATATAATAACTCTTTTTCTATATCCGGTAGAAAGCTGAAATTTTCAGCGATTCTTATCCTAGTAAAGGACCACAATCCCAATAAAATCGTGTTAAGCAATTTGGGGTGAATTTATCTTTCTTTGAATTTCCTGACATCCTTTTTTCATAGATTTCGGCTTCAATCTCAGAATAATTTAATGAATGGAATTTGGGGGGTTCCAAATGATCATGTAAACACAAAATCTCAACATAGAAAAGTTTGAAATTTCATCATTTCAGTACCAAGGTGGCTACTTTATGATTTGGATGTTTGAAAGTTTTGAAGAATCATAATTTCTTCTAATATAGATAGAAAGCTGAAATTTTCAGCTATTCTTTTTCTAATAAAGGACCACAATCCCTGAGAATTTTAGTTCATTTAGACTTATTGTTCCAGAAATAAAATCGCGTTAAGCAATTTGGGGTGAATTTATCATTTTTTCAATTTCCTGACGTCCTTTTTCTATAGAGAATAATCCAGTTTATGGAGCTTGGAGGATCCCAAAAAGATTCAGGAAGTTTAACTGATAAAAACCTTTGGCACAATCTAATTTTAAAAACAAAATTCCATCTCCTCAATTTATGGTACGAAGAAGTTATATAAGAAACTTCTTAAAATCGAATTCATGTCGGGGATCTGTCTCAATCAGGAATCAAATTCGCAAAGCAATTTTCTAAAAAGCCACAAGCGACTTTTTTCTTTATTCCATCGAAAACTTTCCGGTAAAAATATTTTTCCGACCCATCACGCTACCAGCATAATCTCTTGAAACTCTTTCCCCACTAATGACCTTTCGGCAAACAGTTTTGGAAAGGAAAAGCGCCCCTCGGTGGCAAAGGCCAAAGGGTAAACAGGAGTAAATCCGTGTGACGTCATCTGGATTTTGGAATGACGTCACGGTGATGCGGGAAATCGATTTTGTTTCATTGTTTTGACTCTCATTTCTTTAGCTTCGTTTGAGGTAATTATATAAAATAAACACCTTGATGGTTTTTATAAAATCTAAATTTGTTCTTCAATCAAAACGCTATAAATCAACTCAACGATCGCTTTTAGAAAATCAATATTAAGCTAATATTTTGAAAACTTAATTCGGAACGTATAAACAAAAGTGAAGCTTTCTCATTTACTGAAGATTTATTGGATTGGCTTATTTACAATTTTTATTTTGCTCGATGATAAAAATTGTGCTTTTAACTTAATAAGATTCTCTTTGTGTTTTGTGCAAAGGAAATTTTTACCACACAAATGCCTTTGTGCACGGGAAACTTGGCAACATTATTCACCCTCATCCCCTTCATCGTCAACTTGTTGATTAAAATTAAGGTATTTTTCCTTTGAGGCAGTGAAAATTGCGCCTTTTCTGTCTCATACTTGAAATTTTTCGTAAAAGGGTTCTGTGAAAAAGAGGCCAATTACGTAAAAAACCAATTTCGAAAATTGTTCGTGCGGAATTCGAACAGTGCGGAAAATTGCTTATTGCTTAAACACCGGAATTTTTCGGACAAGAATAAATTTACTCCAGTGTAATAACTGCAAAGGTATCTTGATCTTTTGTTAATAGAAAGAACACTTCAGGAGATTATTGTTATACATTTCTTAACTTGAGGAAATTATGCAGACTTTTGCAACAATGCCTGATGCGAGAATTGTAGAAACAACGACGCGCTATAAAACGGAAAAATAGTGAGACTGTGAGTTTAATCAAACTTTCTATAAAACTTTAATTGCAAATTCCTTGTGCTAAGGCAGTTTCAAAACTGAAAAGAAGTTATTATTGTTCTGCTTCAGAATAATTATAACTTTTTTGTATACTTAACCCTCAACACTTGCAAATTAAACCAAACCCGACTCGAACAAAAAGTCCTGAATTGTCTATTTTTTGCCGAGATTAAGCCTTGTCTACGGAGAAACTTTTCTATTCCAGAAACGTCCTGTAAACTCACCTTTTCTTTATTTCTTTTTCGAAAAACCTAATTAACAGGACAGGATGCCCGCAGACAGCAGCGCCGTTTCGATCCCGAGAAGTAATACCAGGACATTTATTTTCTGTTGTTCTTTATTAAGTTTGTAAACTAAAGCTTATTGTTTCCGGCCCTTTTCTTATCTATATAATAGTTCCTATCTATATTAATTTGCCTGCGGCTAATTGATAATGAAAATTGGCCTGCGGCATACTTTTGAAATACACCGGCCAAGATTGTTTGAAAAAATCATAAAACTCCTATAAAATTTCATTTGAAAGTGCTCAAAAATACTTAAAGTAATCTAAACCATTCGAAACTTTCAGGATTTATTACTTAAAGTTTTTCTCAATTATAGAAAAAGTTTGAAGTTGATATAAATCTCTTAGATGAAGTAACAATTTTTTTCCCGCATTGATGATTGAAATAAAATATATAAAAATCTCATTTGAAATTGCTCAAAATAGTATATTATGATATAAGTGTATGAGAAGGACTTTAAAGCACGCGCAACATATTTCGAAACACGATGCGCAGCGGAGTGTTTTGTAAGTCGCAAGGGCTAGCAACATTATACGTTATTCGGAAGCAAAACAACTTATTATTCCAATTTCTAAGTGTAATCGCAGCCTAAAAGGTTATGAAATCCATAGAATTCAGGTTTTGGGGAAAATTATATTAGTATTGAAAGTAGATGATGTACAAAGGACTGTGGAGTGTTTTGTGGTTCCACTTTCAAGAAGTTCTCCTATTGATTGGCCAAACATTCACTTTGACAGGATTAATGATATTTAAGAATAGCGATAACTTGAAATTCAGTGAAATACTTCAACAACCTAAAACTTTCAAGAAAGTTGAACTATAGCTACCAGAACCAATCGTAATTGCATCAAACCCTGTTTTAAATTTGAAGGTCATCAGGGAAATTCTATTCCAGGGAAACCTCTATGTTGAAGCAAGCTTCAGATGTCAACTTGGAGCCGGAATACGCTATTCCAAAAACCAGACAGCAATTATTCCAATAATTAATTTTTCTGGAAGGGATCTCACATTGGGCAGTGAACACCCATTAATAAGAGCCGCTCCTTGTGAATTAGATATTAGCAATACCTCTGAGCAAGTTCTAAGAGTGAACAATAGCCAACTTCCATTATTAAAAGAAGAAGATATCAACATTGGTATTACTGATCCAATCCTACGAAAGAAACTAATGAGTGAGAGCTTCTTCAAGAAGATAGAGACCTTTTTGGGATCTGAGAATCTTGGTGAAGCTAGATCTGCAGAACTAGAAATAAAACTTATAAAAGACAAACCTATCATCTACAGACCTTATCGAATGGCTGAACCGGAAAAGGAAAAAGTGAGGGCAACTATATTAGAACTTTTAGGCGCAGGAATAATTCGGGAAACTGATTCATCATACGCTTCTCCCGTGCAACTTGTTAAGAAGAAAGACGGAAAAGACCGAATGAGCATTGATTATCGAAAATTAAACCTGAAAATAATCAAGGATAGATTCCCCCTACCTTGAATCGATGACCAAATAGATAAGTTGAAAGGATGTTCCATTTTCACTTAGAACCTAAATTGTGGATACCAGCAGATACCTATTGCTGAACAAAGTAAACATTTAACATCATTTATAACACCATAGGGACAATATGAATACAATCGGATGCCATTTGGTTTATGCAATGCTCCAGTAGTTTTTCAACGCATGATGAACAATATCCTAGCTCCATATCGCAATAATGCTGCAGTTTACTTGGATGATGTCATTTTACCCAGTACAATTCCTGAAAATGTAGAAATTATTCGCGGAAAATACTAGAGGTTTTTAAAAGTGAGAACTTAATATCAAACAATAAGAAATATTGTGTCTTCCTCGCCATGTCCATAAATTATTTGGGCTTTGAAATAGACGAACAAGATGTGCGACCTGGTGCTGCAAAAATCGATGCTGCACGACAATTTCCAACTCCCAAAACTGTCAAGCAAGTGCGTCAATTTTTGGGATTAACTGGATACTCCCGGGTGGGGGCAAAACAGGATATATTGCGAATTACTGCAAGATTTTGCAAAGCTTCAATTGCCAAAAATTTGGACACCAGCAACGTGATTGCAGAGCCCGTGAGAGTCAAGTACAACATAAGGTCCAAAACGCGAGGACAGAACATGTTCTGTGACTAGAGACGGAGAAAAATAAAAAATATTTCAAACAAGTTGGTGCCAAGGATAAAACATATCGTGCTTTTATTGACTTTGGTTCTAGTTGCAACATTATACGTTATTCGGAAGCAAAACAACTTAATATTCCAATTTCTAAGTGTGATCGCAGTCTAAAGGGTCATGACATCCAAAGAATTCAGGTTTTGGGGAAATAGTATATTGTTGTATTAGGAGTAGAAGCTTTACTTTTTTGTGCTGAAGCGGTAGGTTTGCGAGCCGAACTTAGTGAGGCTTGCAATACTGCTGAAGCACAAAAAAGTGCTTCTACTCCGTATGCAACACGCTATTTTTTCTCCAAACGAATGGGGTAAACTCGGGGGCAAGTGAATGGTTGAGCGGCAGTAAAAGTACGAGCGGCACTAAAAGTACTTCTACTGCCGCTCCAGTGGCACTTAAAGTACTTTTATTTACAATCATACATGTAATGTTGACTTTACTGACTTTTAGAAAGTTCGAAAATGTCACTTTTTTGAC